GCCAGCACGCACTCAAAAGAAAGAGAGCACTCGTTCCAACTTTCAGGCTATTTTCTAAATACTCTTTTCAAACTCCTTTCATACTCGGAAAAAGCCTTCCAGAAAACATCCACCCCTCTGCAAGCCTCGCATTTGTTACCTGATCCAGTTTTGCGCTCCTTTTTCTTCCTCCCAGCTCTAACAAGCATCCTTGCCCTTTTACAAGTTAAGGTCATTCAGAGGATCTATACAAGCAAGCAGAACACAAGCTGGACTGCAGATCTTGAAAGGCTCATGCTTACCCTCACCTTTAATAGGGAGGCACCACCCACAGAGACAACACGTTATCCCGGCATGCACCGCTCCCTCCTGATCCAAATGGTAAGTAGCACAAATCAAAAGGACCACAGCAAGTTGGAACCTGTTGTCTCGGCGGGTGGTACCCTGCATCTGTATTAGAGATGAAGGCAGCTGTAATCTCTTCGGTTTTATGCAAATGGGATGCAGCGCTTTGGCTTCTGGCTAGCTGCCAGGACAGAAAAAAAAAAACAAATCAAAACAAAAAAAACGCCGCCCTTGTCAATATGAAGTTTGTGTAGATCAGGAAACCCAATTATTGGAATTTGCATAAAAAGCTAAACATCAAAACACAGTTGGCGTGTTTCTTCTCAGGATGTGGGAAGGCCACAAATACAAATCTTATCTCTTAACTTAGCCATAATTTAAGTTTTGCTTTCTATTGTGGCTCTGAATTACAACCTTGCAATTTTAATACAAATAAGACTATTCAAGGTTTTCAGGAATACTATTGCATCATGGTTCTTATTTTCCACACACTTTTAAAACTGTTAACAAAAAGGGTGAGCACTCAAACAGTTAATTGGAGATTCAGCCTTGGCCTCACAACGAACTGGAGATAAAAGTCAGTCTGGTGAAAACACACATCGCTTCCTCACTCTCTGGACAGCCCGGCTGGAGCACGCCATGGCGCCGCAGTAGCTGAAGCTGGTACTGTCATGGATGGAGTCCGAGCCCAGCTACGCTTGCTGACGCGGCCTTCCTCAGGCACCCGTTCTCCACGTAGGCAGACGGCACAGGAAGGATCAGGTGCCTGTGCCCTGGCCATGCTGACGGCCTGGCATAGGAGCATGACTCTGCAATTGCCAGCTGAGGCACCGTGATTTGCGCAGACGCGTGGGGACACGTTTCCTGCTGCTGATTTTGCTGTGGGACAGTAGCTGCCAGCAAGGGGTAGAAAAGGGATTAGGACCTGTCTCCTCTCCCACAGCCTCACCGGCCACACGCTCCCTGCCAGCGTGCTCACATGCTACACATGTACTCGTTGCTGCAGTAGACAATCTTTCTTTCAGAAAGCGAGAACAGCCCGAAGAAAGGCTCTACTCTAACCCTGCTGAATAGATTCAAGAAGTTACACATCAGTTTTGATTTTAAAGTAGATAGAAAAAGTTAAAAACAGAGAACAACTTGCAAAAATGTCCCGGAAGAATTTCTGCTGTCACTCAAATTGTGCAACATACTCGACTGGAGAGACTTATTTCCATGCAAGCAGCTTGGCATGAAATCCCACCGAAAGGCTTGTGGTTCCCTAACGCTGTCATGACGTCATGATTTAGGATTTTTAGAGTAATCAGCCCAGCACAGCTGGTGTCATGGTTGCCATTATACCATGAAACACTGAGTGGTTTTAAATGAAAAAGGTTTCCCCGTTTGAAATTCTTAGATTTCTTCCATCTTATTCTGTGGATTCTTAAAACCAGACCAGTTCTGTAAGCATAGAATAGCTGATATTTAAGCAGAGCAGGAAATAGTGCTGCTTTAACTGAAAATAAATCTGTCAACAAGGAGGCACAGACTCCACTTCAGACTTTTCAGGTTCTTATTAAAAAATATAAATTAAAGTCAACATTTTCACGTTACTTGCTACATCTGTTTGCTATTCCATTATAAATAAAAATATAGGGGCCTCCAATTCAGTGTTGGTTCACTCAAAATCAAAAAGTCCTTTTCATTTAATACTGCATTATAATTGGTCTAGATTGTACTGTATTACCAGAAGAGGTCCATGAGTAATACGCTATGCATTACCCAAAGTCAAGCTGAGAGACTAAAAAGCCCTTTGCAGTGTACCATCCTTCCCTTTCTAAAGGATGAAGGACAGCAAAGTCATGGAAGCACATCCCCAATATATGAACCTTTCCAGCTGATACAAGCAGGTCTGGCGCTGCACTCTTTGCAGAGTGAGCTGGGAAACAAACAAAAAAACCCCAAAACTAACCCTTATCTCTAGAGGCCAGGGCAGTTGAGCAGAGTTCAACTGGAGGAAGTCTGCTAAAGGTTTAAACAACTCCCCTGTCACCCCACACTCCCACCAACACACTTTACCTGGGACAGCAGAATCCCACAGTGCTTCAAGCAACAAAGAGACCGACAGTCATTTTCTTCAACAAGGGCTTTACTAAATTCTCTGATGGAGAACAAGAGCCTACGGAGCATGCAGGAAAATCACTACATTGCTGCAATGAGCACAGTGATGTGAGTTCACATAGCAATTGTGTTTCTAGAGTAGTTAGCAAACAGTAACTGCTGTTGGGAGCAAGAATTGATGGTGGGTGCTGAGCTCCTTTGAAAACCTTCTCTCTGTCTGTCTACAGTGCTCGCCTACCTTGTGATAACTTCAGGTTCAATGTTTAAGAGACACGTAGGTTTTGACAGCTTTACCACGTGCATAATTGTATATTAAGACTATTCACCATAAAGGCAGAGCCAACCTTCTCGACAGCACACGTAGTATTACGTTTTGTAGCTCCAAGAATGAGGCCAAAATAAAGGTAACAAACTGCAGACAGCTGAACATTTCAGGGCGAGTGACCCAATGATGCCCTGCTCTGCAGCCAGGAACACTGTCCCAGCCACACAGAGAGGAGGGAAACACGTGCATATACCCAGGGCACGGAAGTCACTTTGACGGATCTGTGCAGGCGTGTGCTCAAGAGGTTGCAGCCAACATCCCCAAAGCAGTGCAGCAGCAAGGGCTCACCATTTGCTTGTGCTGCCCAGCTGCAGCAGCCTCGGGCAGCGCAGTGCCGGGGGCAGCCGAGGCACACCGGTTCTCTAAGCCTCCTCCCAGGCTCATGCACATGCAGGGCACTCAGGAACTGCTCCTGCTTCACTTAGCAGGCCTTGGAAATTGCCTACAGCCTATGTCTAGATATAGGGGGTTAATTCCTGTGCCCTGCAACCAGCAAAAGGCATATTCCACTATCTCAATCCAAATTTCCAGACTAAACCATACGACAGCATGAAGAGTTAGGAGGTCCCGTGCCAGGAAGTTATTTAAAGTGATGACATTCCACCTGTGTGATATTTTCACTCCTCCGCCCCCAAGTTTTCCACTACAGAAGAACAAAAGATTTTGGTCTAGCTGACAAGTTGTGGGAGTGAGAATCCAGAGCGTGTGCCAGGGCCAAGGAGGTTGTGTCCTTCTACAATTTGCTGCTTCATTCATACAAACACATCACCCTTCAGTCTTCAGCTGAGACCCTCATATCCACTCCCTGCTCTCACCCAAAACCACCAGGAAAGAGTTTCACCATGAGAATAGTCAGCCTCACCAAGAGAAAAGTCTCACCAACCTCAGGCTGACAAGTCACCAGAGAGAGGAAGTCAGCACAGCACTTACTCTCTCCAAAATTAGTCCCATCAAAACAAGGCTGGCAAACACACATCACCTAATCATGGCAACCTCAGATTTTCAGTGGCAAAGATGAAATATCATGATCTGAGAACAAACGCACCATGTGAAGGCCTGCATGTCCGTGGTAGGATCTCTTGTAGAAGTGAGGGAAGGAAGCCTTTAACTTCATTTCTCTCCATTTCTTTCACTTGCCCTACCTTTCCTCTGCTCCAGCAACTAGTGACTAGTTGCTAATAGATGTGTTGGTTAAATACCCCAGGCAGTTCTCTGTGACGCTACGGTCCTGTATAAACTCCAGTCTTAAGAGACTTGTCTTCTGAAAAACAGTTCTGTAACCACAAACATGAGAAACTGCCTTGAGGACATGGGTAAGGTTAAAGAAACTGTCTGACTGCTGCCGTTGCAAAAGAAGCACCTGGGTGAAAAAAACTGGTGGCTGAATCTTAACCAAGAGAAACAAAAGAGGCAAAGCTTGGATGAACAAACTGGGGCCTTTGCTGCACCATTCATCAAGGACATTTAGCCTGTAACTATGAAACAGCGCAAAGACAGTTTCAGTAAACAGGGACAGCAGAAACCTTCTGCCATTTCTGGCTGGTTAAAAGGCCATGTTCACAGCCTCAAGATCATGACAGCTTGGCTACTGCTACTCACTTTAACTGGAGTTAACGAACAAGGTCAGTAAAAGAAAAACAGGAATAAGGTTAGATCATGCTGCTTGCCTGGTCCAATACAAAATGCCTGCTAAAGACCAACAAGCTAAGATAATCATTTAATTATTGGAGAAAAGACAGTCAAACAATTAGAATTTTATGCTTCTGTTACACAGATTGGCATTTATACAGCAGCCACTGGGGTGGCAGTCCGCTGACAGTAACACTGCTGTGCCAGCAATAGGAAAAATGCCCTTACAGCAGTTTTCCAGAGGAAGGCATTTAACATGCACAGGGAGGGGTCAGGATTTAAGCATATGACCATAACAGACTACCAAGAGTGAAAAACACAACAAGACATTCAGTTAAAAAAAAAAAAAGTTTCCCAACCAGTTTAAAAAAAAAAAAAAAAGTCACTCGACTAACACTAACAAGGAAATGTATTGCATTCAAAGCCTGCAGAGGGGAACAGAGTAATTCTTCTACATCCAAGAACAGGCATACGTCACCCCTTGTGAGACCAAGGCTAGGCTATCCTCAGCAGAAAACCAGCTGTTCAAATAATAAGAACAGCAGGACAGGGTTTTACCTACGGCCCCCCAAAACGCAACACAAAACACAACATGCAGCAACAGAACTTAAATGACACTTACTCATGTACTCTGTTGTCTCCGTACAAGTCACTTAACCCAAAGCTGACGTAGTGCCAGTGCTCGGGAACATTCAGCGCTGGGTTTCCCAGGTTTCTGTACATGCTAACGTAGTCCAGAGGATCAGGTCCTCCCAACCTGCATAAAAAACAGGAAGATTTTTGGGTAAGTTAGTTTATTCAAGACAAATGGGAAGTTTCCACAGGTGCTACAAGGGGCTGGCTGTACAAAGACCTGCTTTAAAACATAGCTAGTGACAAAAATGAAGTTAGCATGTTTGAGTTACCTCTAAAAAAAAAAAAAAAAAAAAATTATTGAGGAGAAATGGTAAGTTAAGTTCAGAAAGCTTCAAGCACAAGCAGGCAAAGTACATGTATGCAACATACTACAATGTTTCTAATATTAAAGCATAAAAACCTCCAGAAAATCATATTAAAGCTTCCACAAAACACAAAGAAAATTGGGAAATTGTACTAGTAGAAGACCACACTGCACTGTAAGCTCTTAACTCGGTCCAGAGGCACATACCTCAATTAAAAACAAAACAAAACCAAACCTGACACTATTCCTCAAAGCAGAATTTGAAATAGCTAAGTTTTGAGGAGAGTAATCCATACTTCTGAACATAAACATGATAGTAAAATAGTGGAGGAGAAAAACATTGATTCAGAGAAATTAGTACCAGAACTTCAAAAATACACTAGCTGCATTAATCAAGAATGAGTAAAAAGCATCATTGCAACCTCTGCTTCACCACTAGAATGGGTTCCTTAAAATAACATTATTTAAAAGTCAATGCAGCACAGCCAGAATACATTAAGCAGCAATCACCAAAACCTGTAACCACCCTTCCCCGGCACAAGGCAGGGAGGCTGGTGTGCCAACAGAGAGCACAGCACACTCCTGCCGCTTGCCATCATCTCTGCCCGCGCAGAGGCAGGCCAACACCCCACCGAAGGAAGGAATATACTAGACTGTTTTGCACACTGTTCACCTTGTCAATCATAAAACACACAGGTAGAAAGATGATAGAAGAGACAAGACATCAAACCACCTACCACGAGCATTTATGGAATAGCCTGAACAGCTGTTTAACGGTTTCCTGCCTCCGATTCACTTCTTCAAGTAAAATACTCTCAACTGCTCCAAACAAGAAAATCCAGACCAAGATGATCCCCTTAATTCAAACCACTTATTACACACTAATTCCCCTCCTCTGCATTGCCTGTTTAGACCCTGACTCTATCATCTGCAGGTTGCAGGGCATGCCCGTGCTTCCCTCGCCAGCTCTTGGGGTTTGTGTATCACCATTATGCACGCCACAACCGCTGCACAAAAAGCGTTTGAGCACCTCAGTTTTGTTCCCTGGTTAAAGTACCGCTGTCTTATATCAAACACTGGCAGGCTTGGGAAGAAATACTTTCCCAGCATACAGGGTGCTAGTCCACTACCACTGCTCCATGGTAGTGGACTTTACATGCGGAGATTCATACCTTGCCTTACCAAGGATGCTCTGGGGTCATCAAACAGCAAAGCTTAATTGCAATTATCCAACCTAAGGCCAGAGCCCTTCTCGGAGTCCCACGTGAGAGCGATGCTCCAAGGCAGCAGAGAGGAAACTCTGACAAGCATTTCCATCCTCAGGCATGAGTAGTACCAGGCTTATGGTAGTAAAGTCGGTGTTACACCCTTCGGCCTCAGAAAACGGGCAATCAGTGCAGAAGAGGTTTAACCCTGAGGTTGCATGGTTACCCCTAGAGCACATTCTCCAAATACAGCAATTTCTTGAAGTTCATTTAGGAGAGACGCTTGAAAAAACAGGAGGTTTCAGAGCTGAGATCGCTGGCATTGCAAAACCGAGATGCTAAAAAGTCACTTCGCAATTCTGCATCGGTCTCACCACAGAGAGGTCCATTGGCAAGGGCTGTCAGAATTACACAACCTTCTCGTATGACAGTCATCATCTTTATGGTGTAAAAAGCAAACTGGTGACCAAGCATGGGGAATACACGTTAGACCCTGCAATGAAGCAGTTTGATCAGCCTGGGAAATTCCATTCTCAAAGTCTAGAGATAGACTGAAATACTCAGGAAAAAAAATAAGTCTCCCCAATGTACCACATCTCCACCCGCCTTTCCATTCCTCCTCACCAGCACTGGGTCATGCTGGAGGCTGTCAGAGATCTCTGCCATAGATGCCTATTCAGAGCGCGGCACCAATGCCCTCGGCAGCACTCAGGTTCCCCACAGCAGTAATTCCCAGATCACTGATGGAAGCAGCCAGATGGAAGCAATTCCAGCCGGGACAGTCAGTAGCCCCCAAGGACTGGCAGTGAACAGCAGCAGCCACGCACAATTATTCAAAGTTACCTGACTGGGAAGACTCCAGAGAGAGGGAGGTCAATACGCTGACCAGCAAACCAGTGTGAGAGATTAGCCAGTGGTCAGAGTGGATGTGTAGGGTTTGCATTGAAGGGAGAACACCTCCACCTGCTAAGCAGCAAGCATCTCCCACAGGCCCGAAACCTGCTTCTGAGCTGGGTTTAATAACACCTTAGATGTTAAACGACTCACAGTGGAACACTGCTGACACAGTCACTTCAACACTGACAACACGCAAGACAAATCCTTAGACTGCAGACTGCCCTTTTTCAGGATGGGGACTGCTCCGTGAGCACGCTTGCATTAGTCAGGTCTGATGTGGGCAGCAAGGAAGTCCTGCCTAGACTGCACCACGTGAGCCAGACTCCTCTCCTTTACTTCTGCTTCTCTCCAAAGGCCAAGCCTCTCTGGGGACCCACAGCACCACGCTACCCGGGAGCTGGCTTCAGAGATGCGGCACCAGCCAGCTCGGGGGAACAGAGCTCTCTCCTGCCCAGAGCAGACCCAGCCAGAGTTGGCTGCCCACCAGTTTACACCCTGCACAACAATCCAGACAGACCATCTTTACTCCCTGAGAAATCTGGTAGGCTTGAAAGAGAGTCAGACAAAAAGCCTGCAGCAGTGACTAACTAAATTCTGAAAAATATGCATCCAGGCCATATACCTGTCCTGAAATCACTGTGACTGCAGGAGCATCCAGCACTAGTTTCAAACCAGCTACTGAGAGCACAGCTAGTAACATACCCGTGGCAATAATGCTCAGCAAAGGCTCGTCAGCGCAGATTTTTATCCAGTTTCAGTGGCAGGTTTCACTGCTACGCTAACTAGTCGAGCACTGCTAATGCCTGCTGTGGTACATCCTCCCGCCCACAGCTGCTGTTGCAGGGTTCGACCTTCTATCACAATCTACATATCAGTACATGCGTTCACACAAAGAGCTGGAAGCGTTGGAGGATTTTATTAGGAAGAGCCCAACTTCAAAGCCAGAGGTACAGTACAAATTTGTTACATTCTCTATTCATGGAGCTCATTCAGGAGCAAGAAGGGCAGCCTCGGGGGAAACCCAGTATTTGCATCTGCACTGAGAGTCTTCTTTTGACTGATGTCAAGAGCACTCTGAAGTTTCTGTGGAAGGAGAAACCTGAAGTAGGCAGAGAGGAAACAGCTCCACAATGGGAAAAAAAATTGGAAAATTCCCAATACATTCACCCTGAAAAGTCCATAGTGGACTGTTTGTGGTTGCTTCCCAGCAGCTGACAACAGGACCACTTTTCACAGCTACCTTTTGACAGCCCTGCAGAAGTAGTGCATGATCCCCAAGTGGCTGCAGACCACAGGTCAGTGTGCTGGTTTTTGAGTGCATGTCCTGAATTCAAGACAGGGGATGAAAAATGAGGAGTCCAGCCTGAATTCTGCCTATTTCAAAACCTATCACAAAGGAAATTACAAATATTTTTTTTTCATCAGCAATTCTATGCATCAAGATATTTCACTTAGTTTTATGTTTTAAAAATAAAAGAGGATACTGGATATCAACACAGAGAAACTCCTTCTCAGTGCATGGCCTTTATAAATACAGCCAGGACTCTTCCAAGGAGTTCCAATTGCAATCACAAACTCGCTCCCAAGATATGCAAATAGCATTTAAAAAAAGACTAGTTCCATGAAATAATCCACAAGACTAAACCCCTCCATTTAATAGGTATGCAGTTCTGCAGATTCTCCAACATTACAAAGTAAGGATCTGCTCTGCCGCGAAAGCCCAAGAATATAACTTCAGCTCCCTGAACAAAAAAAAATTTGCTGTTAACCATAGAGAAACTGATACATATAATTAAAAGCTGATTAGTGTTACAATATTTCTCCTAAGGCAGGGAACTTTGTTCAGCAATTTCCTCTTCTAATCTAACCAACTAATAGCTGGCAGCCAGGCAGAGCAGTGCAGACTCACTGAGAGCAAGCGGTGGCAGAAGTCATTCCACCAGACTTCAACAAAATCAACCTCCAAATTTCGCCAACTTTGCTATCAAAGGGAGAACAGGTACCTGTAGCGTACACATAGTCTAGACCTCACATGAGAATTTCCTGCACAGAACAGCAGTAAGAAGCTCACCTCTAATTTCTACGAGTGAAACTCTCAGCTTTTGCTGCCGGCTGAGCTGACAGTTGGAAGAACCGTTAAGTAGAAAATGCCAGGATAAACAGGCCTTCACATTACTTCTTGCTTGCTGCCAATAGCAGTTTTCCTAGTGTTTGAGTTCCAGTTGCAGTGAAGCTCTAATCAACCCCTTAAGCAAACAAGCAGCAAGGTTTCTTCCCAAACAAGGGGTTTTGCCACTCTTCGTTATAAACCTAAATCTCCCTCCATCACGCACAAATCTTACGTCACTCTAGTCAGTATTGTTTTAAGCTGTTGATGGAAAAGAAGTGCTGACTCCCAAATGAAGGTGACTGGAAACTCATCAAGCTTGAATATCTAAGATTAGAAATGGGTATAAAAACAGACTGATCAGAGCACCACCGAAGTACCACAGCACTGACCCACACAGATGCTTAAGAAATTATTTGTATTTTGAGGTCTCAGATTTGCAGTATCTTATCTCGACACACTGTGTCAGTTAAAGTACAAAGAAACCCCCTAAGCAATAAGGGCTAACAGACATATGTCTTGCTAGAACCGCATAAAAAACAACACTTCTTTGGAAGATGACAGCAATAGTTTGGCTGTCAGAGCAGAACACAAGGAGGATG